TGTGCACTATCTGATACTGGGGACACAGAGGGTGAGGAGATATGCTTGTTCACATACATTATCAGGAAATACGCAACAGTTATAGGAACCATGTTTGTAGGATGGAGCTGATTTACAGTCAGACTGCAAAGCTCTAACATTATCTCCATGATGCCTGGATGTCTGGCTCTGACTCTTGGTTGGGATAAAGCCGGTGAGCTACATGAGGTACTGGTTAAAGTCCTTTTTTCTTTTTTTTTTTTTTTGAGATGGAATCTCGCTCAGTTGCCCAAGCTGGAGTACAGTGGCGTGACCTCGGCTCACTGCAAGCTCCGCCTCCTGGGTTCATGCCATTCTCCTGCCTCAGCCTCCCGAGTAGCTGGGACTAGAGGTGCCCGCCACCACGTCTGGCTAATTTTTCGCATTTTTAGTAGAGACGGGGTTTCACCGTGTTAGCCAGGATGGTCTCGATCTCCTAACCTTGTGATCCACACGCCTCGGCCTCCCAAAGTGCTGGGATTACAGGCGTGAGCCACCGCGCCTGGCTGATTAAAGTCTTATATTCCCTGGGAGACTCCCACAGCCAATTTGTTAATGATGGCTTTTTAACTTTTTTTAACTCACATAACCAGTTAGATAGCCTGGCATGACTATGTAACCAGTGAACAGAGAGGAATAAAAAACCTATGCAAGGCCGGGCGCGGTGGCTCAAGCCTGTAATCCCAGCACTTTGGGAGGCCGAGACGGGTGGATCACGAGGTCAGGAGATCGAGACCATCCTGGCCAACATGGAGAAACCCCATCTCCACTAAAAACACAAAAACTAGCTGGTCGTGATGGCACATGCCTATAATCCCAGCTACCTGGGAGGCTGTGGCAGGAGAATTGCTTGAACCTGGGAGGCAGAGGTTGCTGTGCGCTGAGATCACACCACTGCACTCCAGCCTGGGCGACAGAGCAAGACTCTGTCTCAAAAAAACAAAACAATGACAACAAAAAAACCCATGTTGAGACGTCCTGCCATCAGCTCTCCCCAAATCAAGTTTCATACAGATCTTAGTGGTTCAGTTCAGAGACAGTGTGCAGTCTGTACGTGAATAAAACCACTGAGAAGCGTGCAGCTAGATGATTCTGAGCCCCAGTGCTTACCTTCCCTTTCTTTTGCTGAGCCACATCCTTTGCTTCTAACCAAAAACATTTTCTGGGTGTGCTCTGTGGAGTCTTGTTAGTCCTCTGAACTGATGAAATCATTTTGCATATGTCTTATGACCTTGCAGTTAGGTCTACAAAATATGAATTTGCAAAATCACTCCTATTTTGTCATATATATTTAGGCCAAGTTGACTTAGATTCTATAAACATGTTTGCTCCTTAGAGCTGCCCAAACTTCATTGAGCAATAGATAAGTTAGATGAAAAATACTCACGCAGCACATGAAATTTTGGTTCATGATGGACTGCATATACAATGGTGGTCTCATAAGATTATAGTACCGGCCAGGTGTGGTGGCTCACGCCTGTAATCCCAGCACTTTGGAAGGCCAAGGCGGGTGGATCACAAGGTCAGGAGATTGAGACCATCCTGGCCAACATGGTGAAACCCCATCTCTACTAAAAATACAAAAATTAGCCAGGCTTGGTGGCTTGCACCTGTACTCCCAGCCACTCGGGAGGCTAAGGCAGGAGAATCACTTGAACCGGGGAGGCAGAGGTTGCAGTGAGCCGAGATCGCACCATTGCACACCAGCCTGGGCGACAGAGTGAGACTCTGTCTCAAAAAAAAGAAAAAACAATTATAGTACCATATTTTTACTGTACCTTTTCTGTGTTTAGATAGGTTTACATATACAAATAATTACCATTGTGTTATAATTGCCTATAGTATTCAGCACAGTAACATGCAGTACAGATTTGTAGCCTAGAAGCAATAGGCTCTACCATATAGCCTAGGTGTTTAGAAGGCTGTACCATGTCGGTTTGTATCAGCACTCTGTGATGCTTGCAAAATCATGACACTGCCTAATGATGTATTTCTCAGAATGTATCCCTATTAAGTGAGGCAATGCTGTATTTATCAATTCATCAAGTGAAAATCTCGAAAGTGAGTGAAGTGGCTCACACCTGTAACCCCAGCAATTTAGGAGGCTGAAGAGGGAGGATTGCTTGAGGCCAGGAGTTTGATACCAGCCTGGGCAACACAGCGAGACCCCATATGTATAAAAAATAAAAACGTTAACTGAGTGGGATGGTGTATGCCTGTAGTCTTAGCTACTTGGGAGGCTGAGGCAGGAGAATTGCTTGAGTCCAGGAATTCAAGTCTGCAGTGAGCTATAATGGCACCACTGTACTCCAGCCTAGGTGACAGACTGAGAACCTGTCTCAAAAAAAAAAAAAAAAGGCAAAGAAAATTTCTGACTTCTTCAAAAGAAATCTTCAAGCAGGATTCTGGAATATAGCCCAATGTTGTTTCATGCCAAAATATAAACCACAGGACCAAATTTTCCTAAGGAGCAGCAACTTATATGTAAATAGCTTTAGAAAACACAACTTTGGCCGGGCACAGTGGCTCACACCTGTAATCTCAGCACTTTGGGAGGCCGAGGCGGGGGGATCACCTGAGGTCAGGCTTTGGAGACCAGCCTGGCCAACATGATGAAACCTCTCTATTAGCTGGGCGTGGTGGTGGGCGCCTGTAATTCCAGCTACTTGGGAGGCTGAAGCAGAAGAATCGCTTGAGGCAGAGGTTGCAATGGGCCGAAATTGCACCATTGCACGCCAGTCTGGGAAACAAAAGCGAAACCCTGTCTCAAAAAAAAAAAAAA